AAGGGAACCGGCCCTGAACAAACCGGGGGAACCCGGCTGGAACCGGGGCTCGGGAAAAGGGAACCGGCCCTGAACAAACCGGGGGAACCCGGCTGGAACCGGGGCTCGGGAAAAGGGAACTGGCCCTGAACAAACCGGGAGAACCCGGCTGGAACCGGGGCTCGGGAAAAGGGAACCGGCCCTGAACAAACTGAGGGAACTGGGGCTCAGAAAAAGGGAACCGGCCCTGAACAAACTGGGAAGATGGATTTGGAACACACCCGAGGAGGGAGCTGGCCCAGAACATGTTTAGGATGGGGTTTGGAGCATATGGCAGGGCTCTCTCTGGGCTCCGTGCAGCACTTGGGACAGGATGGGTCTCATTAATCCATTCAAATACAGCTGCCAAGAGGATGGTGCCAGACTCGTTTGGTGGTGCCCAGCAACAGGACAGGGAGCAAAGGCCACAAAGCAAAACATAAGAAATTCCACCTCAACATGAGAAAGAATTTCTTTAGGTTGAGGGTGGCTCTGCCCTGGAACAGCTGCCCAGGGAGGGTGTGGAGTCTCAGGAGACATTCAAATCCGACCTGGATGTGTTCCTGTGTCACCTGCTCTGGGTGACCCTGCCTTGGCAGGGGCTGGGCTGGATGATCTCCAGAGGTCCTTTCCAACCCTGATAATTCTGTGATTCTGTAGGGGTCCAGGTCTGGAGCAGGTGTGGGATGGTGGAGAGCTGGGTGGGACACACGTGGCACAGGGCACACAGGCAGGACTCTGCTGTGGAACAGGGGCTTGTGCTAAGCCACTCTAGCAGGAAAGGTGTCCTGGGCTGGTCCTGTGGGTACTGGAGGGGCAGAGTTCTCCAGGGGGGAAAGCCTGTTTCCACAGCCTGGGCACCTGGCATGGCTCAGGGCTTCCACAGAAATCTCTGATGGGAGAATTAAGGAGTGTACTGTGGGGAAGGGAGCCAGGCTGCCATCCTAGCAGAGAAACCCTGGCCAGTACTGCATTACAAAATGCAGCAGACATGAATTCAGGCAGAGCTAACCAAGCAAAGCACTGCACTCAGGTCAGTGTTCAGACACCCAGAAGGTGTGTTTTATTGCAAAGAAAACAAAACCACAACCCTGCTATTTCCAGGGCCAGACACAAGTGTTTCTAAGTGTTCTCCGCAGCAATCCTGAGCAGCGGCCAGGGCTTGCAGTTTGTGTCCAGCAGGAATGAAGGTGTTGAGAACGGCTCAAAGCCTGGCTGTCAGCTTAGATGAGCACATGAGGCTCTCATGAGCCAGCACAGATGAAGGTGCTTGTTGTGTCTGACTGTTGGAGCTGTCCCAAACCTGCTGAGAAGGACAGATGTGCTCCTGCATGGCTGCAAAGGCAGATAGGAACAGACAAGTTGCTGATGGCAGTGGCTGCAGTGGGACCCCGCTGCAATGCTCTAAGGTCATGCTGCAATAGTCCTTAGGATAATGTTCCTTCATTTCACACCATATCCTCGGCCAGAGGGATCCTTAAAGTGTCTCTTGAACTGTATCCTCAAGCTGCATTACATCCTTCACAGCACAATTACTGGGTCACTCCTCATTGTTTCTTTCCACCCTACGTACTCCAAGGCGGTGTGGAGGATGCAGAGTCCCAGGACATGTTAGACTCCATGTTACAGGCACAATTCCAGATCTCTGGGTGACACCTTGGAGTAATCTGCAGCTTGGCCATCCCAGATCCCGCCTGGCCGTGATCCCCCAGAGATGGAGAGCTACTCTGCTCTTGGCCATGCATCCAGACGATGCTATCGCCAGTGCTCCCCGAGGCACTGCACTCCTCACAACAGCACCTGATGCTCTCTCTGAAGAACCACCTCCATTCCAGGGCAGAGTCTGCATTCTAGCTGTGGTCCCAAGGAGCAGAGGGAGCAAGTGGCACACAAAGCAGGAAGATGGAGATGAAACCCTGTGTTGCTACCCAGGGCCTTTATACTGGTGACGCCAGGGAATGTCCCATCTCACTACTTTGCAGACAAGGATGTCCTCACACAAACCATCCTTGACATGCCTGGTACAAGCCCCTCTGCTCACAGTTGAGTCCTGCAGCCCCTCGTGAATAAAGCAGGTTATCCTAGGCAAGTCACAGGAAACAAATACCCAAAGCTAAGAGAAAAGTTCTCTCTTTTTTTTCTTTTTTTTTTAATTTTTCGTTTCCAATCCCAACCGCCACCAGGTGTCAGTGCAACCAAACATTTGGCAGATGGAATTATGGTGATGTCCGTGTAAGTTTTCCAGGAATTGCTTTGTCTCCTTCATCTGCTCTGTCACCTGGCACACTGCTCTGAGAAGTCCAGCATTCACAGTTTTTATTAAAAAGAAGTTTAACTACATTAGGGTGATAGAAAAGCTTCCTGTTACAAATGCTAAGACAAAGGTTTTCTTCCTCTTTACATCCTCCCTGTGCAGAGCTGGAAATGCAAGCACTGGACAGAGTAAAGTGGGCTACCAACAGCCTCTCTACAGTGCTTCCCAGCCTGCAGGTCCCTGGAGATGACCCATCTCTGCAGGGCTGGCAGGAGAGGGACAACAGTGCAATCGACTTGACAAGATCAGCCTAGTGCAAAAAATGATACAGAGAAAAAACAAACTGTAAAAGGATAAAAAGTACCACCAGACTAAAGTGAAATTCTATCAACCAGTAGATTTCTGAAGCTAAACTGGGATCATACAGCCAGGTGCACCCTGTAAGAGACAGCAGAAAAGTGTCCTCAGCCTCAACAGCCACCCTTAAAGTGTCTCTCAGATTACCTGGATACTCCAGACAGAGAAGAGCATCTCTGGAAAATCCTCCAGGCCACAAAAGGCCAGAAGAGAAAATTAGGAGAACTTGCTAGCTGATTATTGAACCCACATAGCCCCTTGGTTTCTTTAATGTTTGAAGACTTTACACGAGATTGGGAGGTGCTGAGCCTGGCCAGAAGCATTGCTTTATCAGTGCCTTGTTGTTTCTCTGAATTAGGATAGAGGAGAGAAAACAGGGCAGCAAAGTAGCTCTTAGCAGGGATATGCACCAAGGAAGCCATTTGTGGGTGAAATGATTCACATCTGATTGGTGGCATTATCTTTTTAACAGCCATTGGGCATTCAAAACATACTTGATGAGGATTATTGGACTTGGAAAGATTTACACGGTGCAGATGCCTAAAGGCCACGGGCATGCCAGGACCCATTATGCTAAGTGCTATAAAACCTCAAATTTTAACTCCATGCTTTAATTTACTCACCATAACAACAATTTGCATTTAATCCTTTGAGCCCCAAAGTGCCTTCAACAAAGCCAATGGACTTGTGCAGTTTTACTGCACAGACCCATCAAATTCAGCAGGAGCCACCCAGAGAGGGGTGTGTATGGCTGTCTGCATCCATGGACTGTCCCCCACTTCCAGCTGCTGGGGCAGGAGAAGGAACTCTGAGCATCTCTGCAACCCTACCAAGGTACAAAAGGAGCTGATGATCACTGTGTCCTACATAACACCAGGAAAGATATGGAGGCAGGCTAAAACCACTGAAAATTGGAATCTGGATAGGAAACCAAAGGTTATCACCTTTCTTGAATCCTTAATAAACTGCTACCAGAGTGGTCCTACATCAAGGTGATCTGTGATTCAGTTTGCATGCAAAGCGCTACACAAACTGCAACAACAGACTCTGGCACCTTGACTTCAGGCACACCCACCAGGGAGGAACATGCTAGAGGTCTCTATACATACAGTGATAGATTTACAGGCTGCACATCTGGGGCCTCTGTGTACAAAGGTTCCCTTCAAGAGCAAGTGTGAAGCTGCATCTCGCAGGAAGCAAGCATGCAGATCACCACCACTAGGGAGAGAAGTACTGCCTCTGACCGAAGCAAGTCCCTCAATCCCTCAATGACAGAAGAAACAAATGTTCTGGGATTTCAGGCTTGACAGTAGTTTAGGCAGGGCTCAGAGAACAATTACACATATCCACGTGCCTTTAGCACACATCTTCAGGGAGCTGGAGCCTCAAAGTTGCCTGAGGCATGCCTGAGAAACATTCATTGGGGAGCTCCTACATCTGATTCTCATCTCATCAGAACTGGCTCTTACATTGTTTAAATGCAGTGATTTTAAAGATGTTACCCCGATATATACCTGTGGGATATTAAACACTTCCACCCTTCCCTCAGGGCAAGATGCTGAAATTGAAACAAAAGGATGAGATCATTACTTGTTTCCCTATTTTTAAACTTTCACATAGTCCTTATACTTACTGCAAAATGACCAACTGAAACCAAACTAACCTGAAAACTAGAACTGGAGTGGAAAAGGCCAGCTAGTTTGAAACTTACACAAGACAAGGGATATTTTCCTGCTGATTTCCCAGGCTATTGTGAAAGAGGCATGTAAACACCATTTTTGAGCAACGCTCCAACCTAAAGCATGTTTCCATCTAAAATGCTGCACCATGGCACTGAATTCTCTGCAATCAGTCAAGCAAGGGTAAAGTGCTCAAACTTTGCAAGCTCAGCTTGGAGTTGTGGAGCTGAAAAAAGGAGTGGGGCTGTTTGTGGTACCAGGGGTGAAAAGACATGACAGCAGGGAGTGGTGGGAGGGGTGTTTTCCCCAAATGTAAACATCAGCTCTCATACAATTAGTAGCTGAACGCTAGAGCACTAAAAAACCTGTTTTCACATGGGGAATGCAAACTCTGCCCAGAACATCGACAGAATCTTGGCTCCCCTCCATCCAAAATGCACAGGTTTTACTGCACCTGCATGGACTGAATATGGTCTCAAGGTCAGTATCTGGAGAGTGAATTTACTCCCCAAATCTGGACTCTTGGTGGCAGGCAGCCCCACCAGCTTGTTTCTCCAATCCAGACAGTCTCAGCCACTACCACAGAGCTACAGTAAGTGCATTTAAAGGTAATGAAAGCATTGGTGCTACTGATAGGAACACACACACAGAGATCTATAAACCCACCCCTCCCACTTCCCTCTGTTCCGTGATCCTCCTGGCTCCAAGCCTCAGATGCAGGCTCAGGACTTCCATAGGGAAAACTTGCCCAAAGACTTGTTCAAAGGTTTTATGAAGTTCCTGAGAAGCCACCTGATCCCATGGTCCGTCAGTCAAGATAGGAGAAAAACAAGTGTGTTTAAGAGGGTGGATCCCTCCTTTCTTTTTCTAAAGATGCGTGTCTTCCTCAAACACATCCACATCCTCGCTCGCCTGCTTATTGATCAGGACATCCCAGCTGTCGGGGCCATTGATGGTGTTCCCCCCGTTCACGCTCGGCTTCTTCTCCTGCATTTCCGACTGGCTGTCACTGGCCACGTCCAGGGTGGGGTTGTCATGGCAGCCGTTCTCAACAAAGCGCAGCTCCTCGCCGTGCGACTGCCAGGGACGAGAGGACACAAAGGGAGACAAAGGGGGACAGCTCTTAATGCTGCTGAGAAGCACAATCAGACCAGGCTATGAGGGTCACTGAGACCTTTGTGGAGTCAGTGGGAAGAGGTAGATTTATTCCCAGCCCAACCCTCAGAGTGGAAATGAGCTGTCCTAAGCACATTTGCATCTCTCTTACACCTGAATGAACTCCTTTGCTGCTCCAGCAGTGTATCCAGCTATGCCCCATAATTGGACAGGGCAAAACAATTGCCCTCCTAACTTCCCAATCTCCTCCATCCCCAGGGCTAAGAGTCTGGCCACCTTCTCCACCCATCCCGTGCTCACCATGTTCTTCATCTTGGGCAGGCGTCTCTGCCAGCAGTTGTAGATGAGCCCCAGGACAATGATGATGGCGCAGATGGAGCCGATGATCACCAACACCACAAAGAGCTTCCCATAATCACTGCGCGTCTGGTTAGGGTGCGACTGGCAGCTCGTGGTGGTCGAGTAGTTCTGGATACCAATCTGGAAGGAAGGAAGCAGTACACTAAAAGTCCCTGCAGGCAGATAGAATCCTGTTCAGAGTTTCCAGGGTCCAAGTACAGAACCACGAATGTGGGCAGAGGAACTAAAGCCAGGGTTGGAGACTCAGGTTATACACCATCTTACATTACTAGAAAGCTCATTTTCCATGAAAGGTGACACATCAGCAAATGACAGTAGGCACAATTTTATTTTGCTCACCTGCACAAGGATATCACACCTTTGTGTAGGAGGCTTTCATAGGAGAAACTATCCAAGATTAGAGTCCCCAAGACAAACTACAGAGCACTGATGGGTGTTGAGGCTTTGCTAACTGCTTGACAGAGAATGTAACCCTAATAAATAGCTTTCCAGTAAAGCTCAGGTTCTAAGAGGGCATAGTGGTCTTTACAAGGTCTTGAAAGTGGACAGCTGCCTGCTGAGTATAAAAGCTTAAGAATAGCTGCCCTAGAAACTGGCCCCCCGTGGCTGTCAGCAAACAGCCCAGGTTGGTCCCAGTGACTTGGCAGATTTGAAACAGGTTATGTATCAATTCAGTAGTAAGTGTGACCAGTGTAAGAGAATATCCTCCCTCCTCCTTGCAATCTCATGCTTGTGCAAGGGCAGCACTGTGAGCAGAGTTTCATTACTGACAGAGCCAGAAAGCCAGAGGCATGGGGCAAGGAGGCTCTGGTAGAACTCACATTAACCCGGAGCTACAATTGCAAAGTTAAACCTTGCATCCACACAAATCCTTCTTTCTGGACAGTTCTAGCTGCTGATACTTCAGTCCCACAATTTCTACAGGGTTGGCTTTTTGCACTTTCTCTGGTGTAAGCCAATCAATACACCACTGAGCAGTTAATTTGCTTTGTCTAACTGCACCAGTTTGTTAGGTCAGGGAAAAACCTGAGAGCAGACAGCCAGCAAGGCAGTGGCTCGATCCTGCTGCTAAAATCAGCAAAATTAATCCAGTGCTTGGCACAAAAACTCAAGCAGAATCAGGTCCTACATACCCTGTAGGACAAAGGGGCAAAGCCAGAGATCATGGGACTGATTTGTCCTCATCTCTATCCTCTTCCAAGCTGCCCAGGGTTAGAAGGGAATAGAGGAAGATGGCAGAGGAGTCTGGTATCCATTGACTCAGGTCCTCTGCCTGCCTTTGTGGAGGCAGTTGTTTCAGGAGTGAAATGCAGACCCTGGAAGCGTAGAAGGTGTGTGAACATGTCAAGAGAAGCCAATGTTTGTAAAACAGCTGGAGGGTGAGCAGGGCCAAATGTGGGGGTCTGCAGCACCCACACTGCTTTGGACAATAGTATGGAAGGGGTGACACTGAGAATCCCAACAAAATGAATGTGTGAAAAGCAGTCTCACAACCAAGCCAGAAAAGCAGGGAGAGAATAGCCCATAGTTACTCTCTTAAAAGGAGCAGACATTTGATGGCCTGGCTACTATCAGTGAGGGGAGCAGGGAGTTTGCCAAGCATCTGACTCATCTGTTTGCCTGCTCTGGGTTCAGCACTTGGTTAGAATGAGATATGCTCCCAGTTTTCAAGTTGCTTATTTTAATTGTATAACTGGTCTTGACAAATGGATGCAGGCAGACAGGCTCTTACCTCAGCTAAGCTCCTCTTAACATCCCCCAGTGCCATGAGAACATCTTTTGTAGGGATAACACCTGTAAAGTACAGGAAGAGATCAGTGCTGCTCTCAGCTCAGGTTACTCAGTCAGATGTATTCATCAGTATAAAATCCCCAGCAGGATGGAGGCAGGGAAACACACATTTTTGTTCATTGGTGTTTTATGTCAGGAGGCTGAAAGAACACAGGATCACAGACAAGGGTACCTCCAAATACTCTTTAAAGGAGTAAAAAATATCCAGGGATGAACTGATAGCAGAGCAACCTAGGTACCCTCCCCACCACCACAGAAGCTCTCAGGATCCGTGTCTGCTCTGGGAGCAAGCAGCAGCACTCAAAAAGTCGTGGAGACAGGTTCACAAAGGTCATAGAGGCCATAATGTCAACATTAGAAACCTCTGTCACTAAGCAGGCAGGAAAAGGACCCCTGAACCAAAATGGGAATAAAGACATGGTAAAATGTTCCAGTCCAGCCCATGTCACTGTCAGCTTTTGTTTCCTTGGGGATGAAGGAGAGCACTGTGAGGACCATCCTAGTTCAGACAGGACTTCAGAATTGATAGGTTGGGAAGTGAAACAAGAGCAGGCTGTCATATCCTTCCATGATGGGGAGTACATAAGAAGAAACCTGACAAATGCTCAGGGAAATGCAAACCAGGGAGGCAGCAAAGCTGAAGGCAATGTGCAGAAGTGCAACGTGCAGTGCTTTGTGCAAGCAGTGAGGGACAACCCAGAAAGCAGATGTGAAGAAAGATGTCCTCAGTCCCTCTCCATCCCTCAAGTCCAGTGAACACTGAGAACTGGTGGGATAGCAATGGATTGGAAAGCAAAAGCTCCTTACAACATGGCTGTGTACCTCCATATAAATACATATAAATCTCCATATAAATCTCCCCATCACAGAAAGGCTCTTTCTGCCAGCACTTACTTACCCTGTTCCCCTGCCAGCGTCATTAGCAAGTGCTTGTCATTCTCATTGGGTTTGCTCAGAGAGATGAGCCAGCGGTCCTGCAGCCCCTCTGCCTGCCTGGAGAAGGCATCCTCCACCAGTGCCAACAGCTGGGGACCCCTCTCCATTCGAAATTCCTCCTGGCACAGGAAAGGAACCTTGGTGAGTGCATGGTAGGGACAAGGCAGCTGTAACACTGTAGGGCTGGCACAGCTGAGAGCTCACATGTGCCCAAAAGCCAGCAGTGATAAACCTGGTGCAACGCTCTGCTGCACGGTGCCCCAGGCTGGAGCCACAAACACCTCCTGATGCACCAACCTTCCTCCTCAGCTCCTGTGCCCCACACCAAGCTCTCCTGGCACACAGGGATCCTGAAGCAACATGATGGTGTGAGAAGGAAGCAGCCAGGCTCCTGCCCACAGCCAGCGCTGGGTCGGGGGTGCCGCTCAGCCTGGCGTGCTCCAGCCATCCCTCAGCAGGCGCCTTTGCTGCTTTCTCACTCCTGTGTTTCTATTCTCATCTCCAGTTGCCATGCCAACCTGAAGGCCACACAGATGATTAATAAAATGGAGAGTTCTTGTTGCCATGGCAATTTGAAGCGCTCAGGGCAGGCACAGGCCTGTGCCAAAAATGGCCTAATTGGAGAAGACATCGATGACTGGAGCCTGAATCACAAGAGCCTGGCAGTGCCTCCTCTCATGAAATGATGAGTTTTGGTATGGGGAGGCAGGAGGAGATGCATGAGGAAGCAGCACTGTAATGCAGCCCCACAATGCTCAGCTGCAGCTCCAGCTCATGGTCCCACTGCCAGTCTGAGGCTCTCTTTTGGGGGATGCAGAGGAAAGGGGAGCAGCTGAGCCAGGAGCAGGAGGACAGAAGTGAGATGTTTCTGATGATGGGGAAAGCAGAGGTTGCAGAGCATTGATCAATTCTCCATGGTGGAGAGGAGGGAGCAGTGAAGGAACCTGAATGCACCTGTGCCAAGGTGGAGGTCACCTCCCAGTGCATTGCCAGGTACCACTGCTGGGTCAGATCCTGCAGTCCTCACTTGGGCAAACTTTCCAGGTATGTTGAGTGCCTGGAGCCCAGTGGGAAGACAAACAGGATTCCAGCTTAACCCAGAAATACAGACATGATCCTGCAGCAGGTAAAAGCCTGGTGCCTTGAAGTGAATTGAAGCTCAAAGCACAACCTTCTGGAAGGAGCTAAGCACACTCCTTGTCCCTCAGCTTTTCAGTGGGACTCAATACACAGCAGATCATGGCACCAAAACATTGAAATATGTGAGGAATACCCACTCACACTAATTTAAACTACAGCACTTGCTGTAGAGCACAGGCTCTCCCTCAAAACCCCAGAAACCCAAACACCACAGAGTTCTGATACAGACACCGAAAAACAAAAGGGACAGGCAGACAGTAGGTGAGGTGCACAAACTGAGCAAATTACCAAGGGTAGGAAACAAACTGCATCAACATCAGTGGAAAGATGAAGAGCTTGATTCCAGCTTCACTCATGCAAAGTGGTAATGGGAGGCAGGGAATGATGAGATGCTCATGTTAAATATGTATGTCGACAAATGTCCCTTTGAATAAGGGGTAGCACGGCACAAATCATTCAGTGGGAAATATGTTTTGAAACATGAAATCAAGTAGAAAAACAGTTCAGTCCTGCCTATCCCAGGGCACCATCTTCCTCCAGCAAGGCAGAACTGAGGATTCAACAGCAAAGACATAATTTGATCAAGAGACATCTGCACATCTGCTTTTCAGTTCTTCCCCTTACAGTGGTTTAAACAACACAAATGACCACAGAAAGGAACTTACTACATATTACAAAATTAATTAGCATTTGAAGTCCACAGAGGTGGGAGAGAGAGTGATGAGACATGAAGGAAACAGGGTAGAAGGACTCTGGTTTTCAAGGACTCCTTTTCTGCTTTACAGTTGTGAACTGTAGCAGAGATACTTAAAGCTCTCCACACTGGTTTGCCTGAATTAGGAGGAGAAAGACTGACTTTTCATCTATTCTTAGAGCAGTTGGCATGTCTTACTGTGTATAGGAATTTCCCCATTTTCCCTGTCCCCAGAAAGATCACCTTTAAAAAAAAGCAAAACAAACCAAACAAGAATTCACCAGAAGTTGCAAGAGGTCAGTGCCAGAGAGCAACCCTGCAGTGACACAACCAGCTGGCTATGCCCACAGCAGGAGCCCCACAAAGCAGGAGTGCAGATGCATGAGGCCAGAACACAATTCCTCAATGAAACATTTTAGTCTCAGGTTGTCAGGCTTATATTAATTTCTTAGAATTATGAAAGGCACCTTGACCCCAGGCCTTTCACAACTGCTTTTTAAGTGCCTGATAAAAGGCCCAGCAGAAGTGAGCAAGCCCTTTTATCAGGGATCCACAACGGATTCTGGGGTCATGAATTAACTGTAGCTTTATGAGGATGGATGGACAGGCATTGGATTAGCAGAGCATGGCTGGTTAACAGACACAGATAACACACAAGATAATAGGGTTGGAAGAAGAGACCCTTAAGGAAGATTTAGTGATAACTGCTTGATACTTATCCATGCACAGTCCAAATGGGAGTCCCTATTCCTCTGAGCCATCAGAGGATTGTTACTATATGCTGGAAGGAATGGAAGAAAAAGGAAGAGAAGGAAGGAGAACTGCATTCAATCCTGTAAGAGGTGCAATGTTAAAAGTTCTCATGTCTCATGACAATCCAGGTACTGACTATCACAGACTAGCAGCCAGAAGTTAGTAAAAAATCCAATATGGAACTGACATGTGCGAGACTTGGAGCAAAATCATCTCCCTCCACCCACTCTTTTTCCCTTTTGGAGAACAAAAATATTTCTGTCCTCCCCTTCTCTTCACAGCCTCTATATGTTGAGATTTCATGCTTTTAAAATGTTTTGTGGTGAAAGCAGACAGGAGGAGCTGTGCCTGCCTTCACTTTCCCAAGCACCATTGCCCCCGTGCCATGAAATCTCTCTGGACTGACTTACACAGTCAATGTTATCCGACATATTCAGGATGATATAGTTCTTTCCTGCAAGGTTGCTCCAGTCTTTACAGATCACCTGGAGAGACAAGACAAAGACAGCTGGGTTCAGGTGTGAATGTAACTCTGCTGCTGAAAGCACAGGGTACACAAGGGACAGGAGCAGGGCACTGTGCCATACTCCCAGAAGCACTTCTCAAAGGATGTGACTGTCCTTTAACTCTCTGTTCTAAGGAGCAATCACCATTTCAGTGCTAACACAGAACAGGGACAAAGCTGCTCTGCCAGCTTGCCACAGCTTGACCTTCCACTTCTATCTAGACTCAAGGAGGACACAGGTTCTCAGTGGAAAACTGTCTAGCCTGCAGCCTTGTCAGCACTTAACACAAAACCTAACCAGGAGCCTCTGTGGTCCTTAAACAAACTGGTGAGAGAGGGCAGCACTTTGCAAGCAGGATAGGATGCACAGAGGGACTAGGGCACTTGTTCAGACTCCTAAGTACCATGGGGCAAAAAGCAAAATTAAAAGCGTTGCTTGGTACTTTCTCACCAGTCAGCTCCTGCTACATTTTCTCTTAACCAGCTGCCAGTTTGCTGGATTCAGGACCTGCAGTTCACCCCTCCTCTCCCACACCCTCACATATAACTGTACTCTTCTCCACCCCTCTGCATCTGGTCCCTGCAGGCAGCAGTCGCAAAAACAGCACTTTCTTCTCACTCCCCTTCCAGAAGTCCTTGGGGACATGTTTGTCCTGACACTTCCAATAATGCAGGCTGAGGAAACAAGGAGCTTTCTCTGCTGTTCATGCCCCAGAAGTAAGGTGTTCAGCTTCTGTTTAAGAAGCAGGATTTTGTGCAGCTAGGAAGATGTGAGGAGCCAGGGATGATGGATACCTTAAGAACTGCTGTGAATAACTCCCTGAAAATTCAGCTTTGACTGGGTGAACAGAAAAACATACTTCAGCAGTCAGACTCAGGGATGGGCTTAAACACTCCCCAGGAGTGAAGTGGCCAAATATCCCCACTGCAACCTCCCAGCCCAGCCCCTGATCCCAGTGCAACCTGAGCAGAGTCCCAGGGCAGCTCCGTGGGCAGCATGGCCATGCGGGCGTCCCCAGCCGGGGGTGACGAGCTCCTCTCTGCTGCCGCAGTCTCAGTGGCTGACTCGGTGTCATTCCAAAGGGGATCCAGCTCAGGCTCATCAGCTCTGTCCCACAGAGACACAGAAGAGGGCTGCTGCTCACTACCAGGAAGAGTCTGGGTGCCTGGGGAGCTGCTTGCAGGAGAGGGTGTCCCCACAGGCGTTTCCACTGTCTGCTCCATTTCAGTCAGCATCGTGGGCTCCAGCATCTCCCACCCCACTGTGGGCTCTGACACCTCCTCTCTGGCTGAATGCTCTTCCCCACCAGCCTCCACTGTGGTCTCTGCAGGCTCTGCTCCTGTTGTAGCCACAGCCAGCTCTGAATCTGCTCCCCCAAAAGCCCAAGTGTCTCCAGTTGTCACCTCAAGGAGTTCTTCCGAATCAATGGGAGATCTTGCAGCAACTGTAGTAGAAAAAGTAGAGGGCACAGGTAGGAGACCTGGTCCCATGCTGCTCCCAAGGTCTAAGCCTGGAGAAACAGAGTCCTCTTCTTGCCCTCCTATGGCTGCCTCAGTCACAACACCTGGCCTGGAAGAGGCTGTGGAAAACAGAAGGGAGAAGGAGTCCTCTTGGTCCACTGGTTCAGAAGATGTAACCTCTGGTCCAGAGGTCTGGAGGCTCTCCATTCCTCCTCTTGAGTGGTCTATAGGGAGCAGCCCCTCCTCTTCCTCTAGTGTGGAGAAAGGAGTGTGTAAGTCAGGCTCCACAAATTCTGCTGGTGCCTGGACAGTGGCCATTTCCCATTTGTCTACTTGTGTCCCATTTTGTTTCGGCAGTGCCTTCTGAGATGAAGCAGGAAAGGTGTAATCTAAAAAGAGATCCAAAAGACTTCATGTTACATCTGAACTAAGAACTCTGAGGGGCAGAGAATACCCCATTATGTGTCCAGCCACAGGTGGGGGTCAAATGGCAGAGACCCTCCAAGGGCAGGTAGCCTGCCACAGCAAAGAACCATCCCATCCAATACGTGCAATTCTCCATCTTCCCATCCCAGTAAACCCATATTCCCAAGGGATAATTTCCATCTTTGTTCTCTCCATATCTGTCTGTCCATTGGCACTTTCACAGACAATAAGTAACAGTTTTGACGCCTGGCATCTTTAAGTTGAGGTTATGAGTGTTAGGAATCAGCTAGAAGCCAGGGATTCATTTCAGATGGGACTGAGAAAGATATGGGGTGGTAGCAGCAGTCAGCCACAAGCTAAATGGGAAATACTACAGGAGAGAAACTAAAGGACAGAAAACCAAATCCTCCTTCCTGGCACAGCTAAGTACTACCACCAAACCCTGAATCGACCTGGGCATATTCGAAATGCAGAATTTTAGTTTGTACAGCACTTCAGAGCAGAAAAGTCATCCCACAAACATCTGAATTAGTTTTGCTTTGCTACAGCAGCTGAATCTAACTCCCCTCCCTCCAACTACAGCCCTTGCTATTCTGTGGCTCTGATCACGAATGGAAGTGTTGTTGCTAGACAAACACAGATGCTGAAGGAGATGCAGCTCACAAATATAAGGTCAGAGCAGGCTGGGGTTTCTTCTGGAAGCTAACAAGGAGCTGGGGACCCAGGAAAAGGAACTTATCAGTAAGATCAGATATGTTTAGCTCAGGGTGGCAGGCACAAATCCAGAAAGCATAAATCAACCTTCATCTTTCTTGAGAAACTGCTCATACCCACGGAGTTCTGTTTCAGGAGTCTGCATCCCAATTAACTCCCTTTCTCCCCAAGCCAAGCACAGCACATTCTCACTGAGAAGGGAAGGAAGACGATCCCTTCACAGCCAGAAATCAACCCCCTGCTCTGTCTATGGTTATTAAGTAAATGACTGTCTGAAATTCCCAAGGCTCCCGTCTCCTCTCCTGCCTGCCAAAGCAGATGCTCCACTGAGCACAGTGGGCAGCAGCTGTCTGGATGCCTTACAGAGATCTGCACAAAAAAGCTCCACATATCCCTCACTCACTGCTGCCAGAGTGGGTGCAAGCTCCCAGGCAGAGAGGCCGTGTCAGCATACACACCCACTGCCCTGGGTATTCCCTGGCAATCAGGACTGCCCTGCTACTCCTCCTGCCCAGCCCTCCTCAGCAGAAACCACACTGTTCCATCCACCCCAAGAAGGAGGTGTAAAGATCCTCCTGTCCAGCTGGCAAGTGGCTTTCCTAACCCACAGCTCATTCCCTTTAAGGTGTCAGCAGCTCCTCCCAGATGTTGCCCAAAGGTGAGGGTTACCCAGCTGCTGACCTCCAGAGCCATGGTGGGGAGACTGACTCCCAGTTCTGTCTGCAAAGAGGCCACTGGGATTCACTGCCCAGGACAGAAGTCACGTTGCTTTGCTGCTGCGTCTCACCAGAGAGCACCCCAAAATTGACACCCCACCCAAAGACCCTGAGGGTTAAAAGACTTTTGCTTCCCAACAGCCAGCTGCTGATGCCTCCTCATTGGCCAAGGAGGCTGGCAAGAGCAATCAGCAGCAGCACAGACCCAAAAAAACCTCATCTCTCCTCCACTGCCTGGCACTGGTCTTTCCAAAGGCTTTCCCAACAGGTAACATCCCAGTGTCTGCAGACATGGTCACTGCCTTGCTGGATGGATGGCAGGAACACCCACAGGCCATGGGATTGAGGAGGTTTGGGTGGGACTGTCTTCAGATAGTAAAGCTTAGTGCATCTCCCAGGGCTCTGCTGCTCCTGCTGCTGCAGGGATAACTCAGAGTTTGCACCAAGAGCCCCCTCTGCCCTGACATGCTGTGGGTGAAAAGTGAGGGGTTTGCCCTTTAAAACAAGGCCCTGTCAGATATGATGTTGTTTTCAAGGATCAGTGATCCAATCTGCCATCTCCTTTGCCTAAAGACATTCTAAGATATTCTCAAGTCCTTTACACCTTCCTCTCTTCCGTGCTCTTTCCACCTGGAGCAGAGCACGAACTGGCAGGCAGATGGGCACAGCAAAAAAACAAACCACGAAAAAGCAGCGTGAGGTTCATCCCACAGGACCAGAAATGCTCCCAGCCTGTCAGCTCTCCTTTGAAGTCACACACTCAACCTTTCCTTAGAGTGCTCTGCCACAGATTCATTGGGTCCCATGGGGGAAAGCCCCACATGGTGCAGCTATGCTGCCTTTCCACCAACAAGATCTAAAGATGTCAGAGGGACTGCTGCCTCTGCCATCTCTTCTGGGCAAAGAAAGTTTAGGACCCATTCCACTCTCTCCCAGCAGAGTTCTGTCTTACAAGGCAGCCAAAGATTGAAACCTGAGCTGCTTCTCTAGGCCAACAAATCAACAGGGTAGAAGCAGACACAGGAATCCTCACACTTGCTACTAACTGGGTTAACATTCCACTTGTCATCAGTTTCCCCACTACCCTGCATGTTAAGCTGGGAACATCCTTCTGTCTGGTTCATAAGACCCCACTGATTAGAAGCTCAACTCCTCTCAAATCCTGAGGGGGTTATTTCTCAGATTCAAGTAGGGAACAGTGAAACTTGAGGCACAGGGGTGCTCCTTAAAACAAGAATCTCTCCATATAACCCCATTACCAAAGGGGTTCAATCCCTTTCCAGGTTCAGGAAGGATCACAGAATCATCAAGGTTGGAAGAGACCTTCAAGATCTAGTCCAACCATCAACCCAGCAGCACTATTGTCATCCCTAAACCATATCCCCAAGTGCCACATCCAGATGCCAACTATGATGAGTCAATCCTTCCTTCCAGACTCTTCAGCTAGACAGTTCCTGTCTGGAATCAGCTCCTCCTGTCTCACTAACAAGGGCATCTGCCAGCTTCTCAAGATCAGATTTAAGGCACTTTAAGGCACTCATATTTCTTTTCATTTACACCCCTGTTCTTTGATTTGAAGGAAGCTTTGCACCCTGTCCATCTCCCAGGTATGATATCAGCCCCTAAGCTGGTCCCAGCATATTCTTCCCAAGCCCCCATCTAGACCAGCTGGCCTGTCACTCACAATGCAGAGCTTGCCCATTTGAAGAGTCTTCTCAGCATTTCCCTTGATTCCTCTTCCCTCCAACCCTCAGGGAACTCAAAGGGCTTGTCCCATTTTTAGCATCTCTCCCAGCATTCAGGTAGCAGCTCCCCTTCAGCCAGTGGTTTTCAACCCCCTTGGCCCACCTGGCTGTCCTCTGCCTTCAGCAGACCCAGTACACCTGGTGCCCATGCTCTGGGCACATGGCAGTGCACCCACAGCCCTTCCCACCTTCCAGTGGCAGTGCCACCCACTTCCCTTCTCACCACTTTTGTGGGGAGAAACAGCAACCATGGAACAGAGAGGCAGAGGGACACAGCAGCCTGTGCTCCTGCTGCAGGAATGGGACAGAGTCCTCTGCTAAAGGAGTTATGGAGCTGGCTGCAATGCCAGATTTGCCTGGCTCGTTTATCAGCTCATCTAATTCCAGGGAGGAAGCAGAACTCTGCCAAGCCCCAGGATGCCCAAGGAGAGAGGAGGTAGTAACTGCACACACCATCAGCTCCTTCCCTGACAGGGTCTGCTGTCTGCCACCAAGATCAGCAGTAGCTGGAGCACAAGAGGAGCCTGTGGCCACACACAGACATGGCACGTGCCCCTGTCCCACCACAACCAAGAGCAGCCAAGCCACAATGGAGCCAGCCTGATCACAGGGGGGACAGCTCAGGAGAACCAACCACTGGAGTGATGAAACTGTCCCAGCACCTCTGGCAAACAGTCTAGCAGGGATGGACCAGAGGAGTGTAGCAGGCAGGCACAGCTCTGCATCATGTACCCTCCCAGACCTTCTCAGCCACACCATCCCCTTGGGAGTCTGGTTGACTGATATGAAATTACACACCTCTGTCTCACCTCTTTACCACCACATCCTTAGCTTCACCCCTTAATGGCTTCCATCAGTGGTGATATTATGCATATTGCAGCATCCAGCTGCCTCCCACAATCACCCAGCTTTTCCCTTCCAAGCTCTCTTACAAAAACCCTCAGGCAGTATTTTTTAAATAAAAAAACATCTTTCACAGCCTTTCCAAGCCTTGCCCTTTGCATCTTCAAGCAGACCCAGGTCTGGGTCACACAGATCCATTTCTTTGCCTGGGGAGATGATTTTCCCTGGGAGAGGTGAACATTAGCTTCAAACCTCTGCAGAAGCCACCATTCAGGCAATGTCCTGCTTTCTCCAAAATCAATATCAAAACTTCCCTGACACCAGATGGACCAGGACATGGCACTGTGCCAAAGCACAATTCCCCAGCCAGACATTTAATTCATTACATTTCTGCTTCTCCGTCATTCAGAAGAGCTGCTCTCAGTTACTGCCCTACAAGGTTCCCTACCCTGTATTTGCTATTAACTGTTTAAAGCAACTGTGACAACTCAGGAAAAGGGTGATCCTCTTTTTTTTTTCTTAGTACACATAACTTGACCATAAGGTGTTTATTGGATTAAACTGGGAGATCATGTTAACCAGTGATTGAATTACTGATAACTAGAAGGTACTGTAATAAAGACAAGACCATCCCTGGATTCCAATCACAACACATAGCATCATTCACACTAAAACATCTGCCAACTTTGGGAATCACACAGTGCACTCCACTGAAAATGCAGCCAGGTCTGAAACTGTATCTGCTCTCCTTTTATAGTACAGAACAGTAAGGCTTACTGCAAAAAAGTCATACTCCAGCTGATTGAAACCACAGGGGGATTTCAAAGAGGCAAAATACAATTACTGGTGCTGGAATTAAGCCAGTTGGGGCTAATATACTAATCTTCCAGAAGTACTAGGAGAGGTTATTATCTGAGACTCTGAGACAAGTCCACACACACAAAAGAGATCACAGTCAAAAGAGAGACCCAAAGTAGCAAAGTGATTAGGCCATTATGGTTGAATGTGCTTGAGGTACAGGCTGGGCACCAAGGACTACTGTTCCCAAATAGCCTCATACCTTATCCCAGCTCAGCACAGAGACTGCAATAAAGGCAGAATAAGCCATCCTCACCCAAACACTGTCAGAGATAGCTGCACCAGAGTAACACCCTGCCCTGAAACCCTCTGTCAAATGACAGCCTTTGGCAGCAATGTCTTCACAGAGCTGGCTTGTCCCAAGATAGATCACCCCTGTCTCTGTACACTAAACCAGGGCATAAACAAGAGGCATCCCAGGAGCTGAGCTAGGGCAGGAGGCTGCTCAGCACTAAGCTGCTTATGGAGACAGTCTTTACCAGGTGCTTCATTTCATTAATGATTGGCTTGAAGATGGTATTAAGAACTGCAGATCTGCTGTCAGTCTGGATGAAGAGGCAGTAGATTTCTGTAAGACTGAGAGATACCAGGATCTCTCTTGCCAGAGGCAAGTAATTCATCATGGAAAGAAGTGAATCTCACTATCAGAGAAGATGGAAGGTATTTTATTCCATTATCTGGTCAGAAAACTTACTTTTTCTTGAATATAGTCTTAACAACAGTCTGTCCCACTATCCCTCATCCTAACTCCCCTGGGAATCCCTTCTGCTAATTACTATGAATAATTAAAAGATTACAATTTCCTCCCCCATCCCACAAAGCACCACATGCTGTCCTAGGAAATCACCAATCTAAAAAACTAGATTGGATAGCTCCCAGTACAGTCATCCCTTGGTCTTCAACCACCTTGGAGCTAAAAAAGCAGTCCCTGGCTGTAATGAAGTGAGCTTCATGCCAGCCCACTGTAACACTGGGAAATGGGATGATGCACTCCAATCCTTGAGCACTCAGCTGTTGGGCAGGGCAGGAGAGGGACTAAGTGCCCTCAAGCACGAGGCATCCACAAGTCTTGTGTCCATTTTCAGGAGCCCACACTTCCCAGCAATTAATGATTAGGCTGCCTCACACTCGAGCCTTCACTGGAAGAGAGGAGCATGTGGGGCAGTGCATCCTGACTGAGCCAAAGGAGAACACTGAGAGCTGCAAACAGGGAGAACTCCAGGGTGAATACAGCATCATGCAACCCCTTCACCAAAACCAAGGGATTCAGAGAGACCTACAACCCTACTGACTCCCATCTTCTAGCCCTAAAGCTGGATGAGGTGTTTTACCTGCTGCCAAGGACATCTGTGTAGCAACAGGAAACACAGGGGACTGGAAGCCTCCAGGCAAAACAAGATGGAGAAATGGGAAGAAAGGAAAGGAGGAGAGGAAGGGCCAGACCCTGCAGGTCCACTGAGCTGATCTGTGGCTCAGGCCAATTTGCTTTGCTACCAAAGGTGAATACCAGCCATACCCAAACTACAACCAGAAGCTTCTGGGTTCCCTGGAAGCCTGAAGGAATGCAGGAGTAACAGGTTCACAGCTCCACTGACTTGCTTTTTAGCAGCAGTACAAATCACACACTGCTTCTTTCCATAAGGATATAGCATCCACATTCCCACCAGACCCCTAATCCATCTCCTCCATGTGTGGCTCCACTGGGTAGCAGCTGTGCATGGCATGACACACATGCAAGTGCACACTTTTGTGCACCCTCAGACAGAATGAGACAAATGTCAGGGCCCTTCCGAAGGTTAGTGCTCACTGATGTCAATATAGAATCACTCTTCTGTAACATAAATCAGCAAAAGCACATTATTCAGGAGAACCAGAGCCCTAGTCTGAGCTGTGCTCTTCCACTGGGAGTTTGTTCTCACTTTCTAATGGACTAACAGGTGGCCCTAGAAATGTTTTCTATAAATATTTTTAAAGGATGTTTTTTGTACACTTAACAAAAAAAAAAAAAGCAGCAGCTGCAGATTGTTATTGCTTTTTAGCTCTTGCAGCCTTGAAGTCACACAAAGGCAGGGCAGTCTCCCCATACAGAGCTCAGACATAAAAAAAAGGAGAGACGGAGAAAGCTAATACAGCTTTTGAATAGCAGGAGATATGGCCTATCTGCAAGATCCTATACCTGGACCAGTTCAGGCCCACTATCTTTGTATAAAGACAAAAAGAAGCCAGCACAGGTGTCCTTCCATAGCAGGTAATTTTCTCTCTTTAGGAGTACAACAATCCTGTTCTGTGCCTTGATTGATGCAGTGTTTCCAGTGTGTGCCTGGGACAGAGCTACCAACTATGCTGAGCTACACTACACTGAATGAAATCTCACATAAGGAAAACTTACACTATAAACTTTTTTTCCTTAAACAGCAGCTGTTTAAAACGGTTTAATGGGTTTATACATTGAAAACAACCTAACAGATGTCATCACACAGATCCACAACGTATCACATGGCATCTGTCACACATGCAGCATGTAAGTTCCACTGGTTGGGTGCATCTCTCATACAGAGGCTTTACATGACAGAAGACTGCCCAATTTAGGGATGCTATTACAATATCCTTTATTGTAAAATGACACACGGCAGGTTTCTAATTAAATTTTAAGTAGAAATGTGCTCCCAGCTCTTGAATAATTCAAACTGTTCTATTAACCAAGGTTCTGAAATGCCATTGAGACATGAGCTCTGGACACAGCAACTGTCAGGGGAAGAAACAGCACTTGGAAGCAGAGCAGTGGTTAGCTGGGCAGCGGATAGGGCAGGGTATGCATAAAGGACAGCTGAAAGAGCACATCTGCTCCTGGAGGAAAGAACTGCAGGCGAGAACGGAAGGAGAGAGCGGCGTGTTCCGCATGCAAATGGGGCGAGGCACGTGCAGGAGGCAAGGCTGGGTTCAGCACCAGCCATCTCTCCCTCAATGCACAAGCACACGCTGTTCTCCAAGTCACGTCCCGATCTGTGAGGACACGCAGGTGCCTGCTGGCACACCAAGAAAAGCGGCGCTGAGCGCTGCCAGCGCGCGGGAGCAGCTGAGCCAGAGCGCGTCCCAGGGATGCGCGGCAGGAACGGCGCCATCCCAACGGCACATCCCAAAAACAGTGCCATCCCAACAGTGCAAAAACAGTGCCATCCCAATGGCACATCCCAAAAACAGTGCCTTCCCAACAGCGCATCCCAAAAACAGTGCCTTCCCAACAGTGCCATCCCAAAAACAGTGCCATCCCAAAAACAGAGCCATCCCAACAGTGCCATCCCAAAAACAGAGCCATCCCAACAGTGCCATCCCAAAAACAGTGCCTTCCCAACAGTGCCTTCCCAAAAACAGTGCCTTCCCAACAGTGCCATCCCAAAAACAGTGCCTTCCCAACAGTGCCTTCCCAAAAACAGTGCCTTCCCAACAGTGCCATCCCAAAAACAGTGCCTTCCCAACAGTGCCTTCCCAAAAACAGTGCCTTCCCAACAGTGCCATCCCAAAAACAGTGCCTTCCCAACGGCACACCCCAAAAATGGTGCCTTCCCAACGGCACACCCCAAAAATTGTGCCTTCCCAACAGGGCCTTCCCAACAGTGCCATCCCAATGGCACATCCCAAAAACGATGCCATCCCAACGGCACCATCCCAATCAGCACCATCCCAATGGTGCCATCCCAAAACCAGTGCCTTTCCAACAATAGCACCATCCCAATGGCCTCATCCCAACAATGGCCCTGTCCCAACAATGGCCCCATTCCAACAGCACATCCCAACAGCCACATCCCAATGGATCCATCCCAATGGCCCCATCCCAACAATGGCCCCGTCCACCCCCAGCACCACTGCATGGCACAGCTGCCCCACAGCCAGGCCTGCAAGAGCCCCAGGGCAGCCAGAGCACAGCCAGACAGGTTTAGCAGCACTGTCAGTGAGCAATGGGCTTTGGAGACCTAAGCTGGGATGGCCCTTGCCCCACATCGCGTGCGCTGTGCCCCAGTGGGCAACCCAAGCCACAGCTCTCAGCTCTGTGTGAGCACAGCTGTTTTTTAAGGTCACAGAAATAGGAGAGGAGATAAAACAAGACTTGTGCTTTCTAATTGCAGACCTCAGTCAGATGAGCTGAGAGCGATACTGCATAGGGGAGGAGGGATAAGGCTGAAGCCTGGCCCTTGGGTAACACTTAATACATGCCCCACATGACACTTAAGAGCAGGAGCATGTGAAATAATCTCCTAAGCTACTGGAAACCCTGCAATGCACCTCCTCCTTCCTCCCATCCCTCTCTCTGAGAGCATCTCAAAGCCAATGAGGGGCTTGGGGAGAGACTACTGAGGGGACTCAGTGGTCTCAGAAAAACACTCCAGAGAGGAAAGCAAACTCAAATGCCAATGAAACCCATTTTGGTCATGACCTCTCAGGAAGCATCAGGACAGGGTAGGCAACAGGACAGCTGCCCAAGGGACAAAACATGCTATTTTCTCTTGGACCAAATCCTCACTGAAGTCACAGAGTGAGGAATCCAGAATTTGACCCAGGGAACTCAGTTCTGACTCAAACGCCAAGATGACCTTGATCTTGGGCTCTTGAGACCCTAAAGTTGTGCTTAATAGACAGCAACAGAAAAAAACAAGAGAGAAGAGAGCATAAAGGGAAGAAAGTGAAAGGAGGGCATGAGGCAATGGGAAACTAGATGGAGGCAGTGCTTTTCCTAGCTCATAGCAGCTCAGGAATAAAAAGCTCATCTGTAACTTGGTTTCTAAAGCCTGTGCTTGCTCAGGGTTCATTGGGGACACATCAGGCACTGAGGTGAGAAAATAGAGCTGACATTTAATCTCAGGCCCTCTTAGCAAGAGTTGTGTCAAAGCAGGAAGATAGATCCTTGCATCCTTCCACTTCCCCAGAGTCCTTGCAGAGTGGTAGGAAGAATGAGGTAAAAAGAACTTACCTGTTGCTGGTCCCAAGTCCAGGCTGGAGTCATTGAGCTCCCCCCCATCTTCCCAGAAGTACTGTGGGGGCTGCAAGATCTTGGACTCCTCATTCTCCTCACTGGCAAAGCCTGACCCTGGAGCAGCATGCAGGGAGCCAGGGGCAAGATCTGGCTCTGCAGCCTCTGGTCTGGTTTGCTCATGGGAATTCATGGCCTCCAGGTGGGACATCATAGCAAATTCCAGCAGGGAAGTTGATGTGAGGCCATCGGCAGTTGGGTCCTCCGAGGAGGCAAGGCAGAGGCACAAGGTCCCTGTATAATGACAGAAAACACCCATCAGAGAGAAGAATGACACCCACCGGGCTTGTCTTCCCCTTGGAGCCTATTCCTGCCAAACCAACCTGCCCTGAAGATGGGCTGTGCTCTCAGCTGAGGAGGAAATTTAGGGTATTTTGGGAAATATCCACAAGTATGCAGAGTGGCATTCACATCCAGGAGGAGTCAGTGCCAAGCAATCATCCAGCGTGGGGCACCTCTTTCTGGGGTGATGATTCACCCTCTCTGAGGTGTTTTTGCCTCTGTTAAAGGATGAGGTGCCTTGTTAATCACCCATCCTGGAGAGGAGGTGGAATGTCATATAGCTCAGCCACGAAACCCTGGCCTTATGAAAACAATGACAGTTTCTATCAGGCTGTCCTGATCTACAGCTATATTATATGGAGGGAGGCTGGTTCAAACCAATATTATTTACAACCAGTATTAATCATGTTTTAAATCTGTAGAGTGAAAATCTGTTTTTTGGTTTGAACTTCAGCGCACTCACATTGTTGGTTCTCATAAGGAAGGGCTGACAGTTACAGGTAATAATTATATTGTGACAACAGCAAACATCCACCTAACACTAAGCAGGAGAGCAAGCTGCATTTTGCACTTTTCTATCAACATTACACACTTATTATTTCCATTTTAACTATTAGAAGGATTGACTGACACTTCTTGATTCCTAGATGAGACTTTAATTGTGATTTGTGTCAAGGTACATTCACATGCATATTGAACTCCAATCAAAATGCAAGAAAACAGCACCTGGGACTTGGCTTTATTCAGCTACTAAATACCATTATAAATATGGAAGCATAAGGAAAAAATAAAATTACCAAAAGCTGTTTTATATTTAAAACAGTTTTGTTAAGCAAGTGAAGTAACTAATTTGGGTGAACTGAACCATTTGCTTTGCAGCCCTCTATCATTCAGCACATCAAAATAAAAGATCTCATCCTCTCACAGCTGATTTTTATTCATAGATTAGAAGGAAAAAGGACAAGTTTTCTTGCTTTCTCAGCTCAGACTCAGTTCCTCAATTGTTAATGAAGTAGTCACTGAACTGAACTAATTGAATAAGCTGAAATGAGGACTAATTTGGTATTTTTCTTTGATAACTGATTTTCTAGACAACAGAAATGCAGCAGCTCTAATCCATCTGGACTTCAGTCAAACATCTGATACAGTGCCTCATGAGGAATTACAAGAGACACAAAAAAAAAGACACCTATTAGCAGGAAAACTGTAAGGCATTGGCTATACAAAAAAAATTACAGAGGCTTGTGCTGGAGGAGGCTCCTAGTGAAATTCCTCACAGTTTGTCTTTGGATCTGCTGTTCTATCACATTTACCTAAGTGACCTTGCAACAAAGAGTAGGAAGGTGATAATGAAATTAGCCAAGGACACAAAGCAAGGAGACATCCCCGCTGCACAGAAAAACCACGGGTACAGCTAGGTGATCTTGAGAATGGGAATAACAGAAATATTATGAAAAGAAATAGCATAAAGTGATAAGCCCCCTTGAGAACTAGCACAAAACATTTCTGATACAAGCTGGGAAAACATTCATCAGAAATGTCTTAAGAGGAGAAACTCCTGTATTAGGAACAGCTCTGAGATATCACTGGAATGCAGATGTGAAAATCCTTGCAGAGTAGTGAAGTATTAGAAACAGAGATTTTACAAAGCACTGCTGAGACATCACCTGGGAGCTGCACACAGATCTGGGTACACAAGGCCTGAAATGATTTAAGCAGAGCTGAACTGCCTTCAGGCAAGGGCACAGACAAGGCAACCTCTGATGTTGCTACCCACCACTGTGCCCTACAACTCCACATGCCAGGAGCACAAATCCAAACCAGGGCAAGTGCTACGATGAGCTGAGGGGCAATGGCACATGGGTTGGCCCTGGTGTGATCATTGAAGACGTTGGCAAGTTGGCACAGGAAGTTTGGGAGTCGCTGCCCACCTGACAACAGATTACCAAACCTGTCCTGGGAATACTGGAAGCCAGAAATGCATTTAAGTCTTCTGCTCTGACCCTCTCCACCTTCCTCTACTATTCTCTGAACTCATCAAAATATTAGCAAAATCAAATATTGGCTACCCTTTTGCATACACACTTGGGCCAGGCTTCAGCACTTCTCAATCTTGTTTGTTTGCCCTATTGATCCAAGGCAAGATCAGCTCAGGCCTGAGCAGCAGCAAAAAGGGAATGGCAAACAAGGCAGAGTATCAAAGGGGAAGGAAGCCACTGCAGCATCACAGAGCCAACCAAAACACCTCAGGGCATCTCTAGGGATGTGCCAACTCCTGAGCCATGCAGGAACAGTGAAGTCCACAGCTGGAATCGAGCCTGCACACCCCCTGTGTGTGAGCCCAGACCTGGGAAGGTCTGGCCAGGACAGCCCCGTGCTGGTTCTGGGGCACCCAGCAGGCTCCAGTGTGAGCTTCCCCAGCTGACAGACAACACCTGCATCCCTGATGGAGCACCAGAGAGAGCACTTGTCTTGAGGAGCTTGCAGCTTAAGCAAACATGACAGAGAGCAGCAAGGAGGAGAAAAGAAACATTATTCTCAAAGTTATCCATCAAAGGAGCACAGGATAGGAAGAGACCATGGCAGGCCCAAGGCCACATGGAATATTTGGTTTATATGTGACTGCAACTGATGCCTGGATCCTGAGCAAGCTCTTTATCCACCCCAATGCCTCAGTTTCCCTGACTCCCATTCACAGACACGGCTGATGTGGCACCTCAGCTTTCCAGCCACACTACAAAGCACATCCTGGTCTCCCCAGCAGCAAGGCAAAGTCTCAAAATGCACCTCTGTGCCAGCATCTACACTGCCTCAAACCTCTTTTCCTTCAGCTACACTCTGTTAGGGCTGCCTACAGAGCTCAGCCAGAGGCCACCCCACCCCTTCTACAACACACATCTCATGGCAGGTGAACCTGGTAATCCAGAGAGCTATTTCCATCCATGTGGGAAGCTCAGATGCTGGGAATTTGTTTACCCTTCTTTAACTCTGAAGTGTTTACCCAGTTAAAACCCCCTAAGCTGCATTATCTGGTTTACTGGGATGCTGTGCTTTCCTCAGCCCAAGATAAAACTACGCCACCTCATCCCTAGGAATGAGTCATGCACAGCCTGAGCAAGACAGGTGTCTTGTCCCTGGGGTGGATGTGAGTGACACTGGGGTCTGATCTAGAGGCACGGGATGCAGAGACTGGGCTGGGGGAACCCTCTGTGCCAGCACCAGCCTGAATGCCTCAGGCCTTAAAGAACCACCACACCAGAGTACAAATCAGTACCTCTCCAGACACCATCCTGACACCACTTCATTCATACCTTCTGCACCAGCAGCAAAAACCCAAAGGCTTGGGGTGCCAAAAAGCAGCACGAAGATTTGCCACCTTCCCCCTCTCTTTCAAGCCTCTCATAAAGGAGCTCCACGCAGCTGTCAACTCCAAGGCAAAGAAAGAATCAAAGCATGAGCTGAGCTGGGAGGCAGGGGAGCACAGCTGAGAAAGGAAATCTAATGCCCAAGATCTCAGTTGCAGGCAATTTTCCTCCCAGGACGGGTAACAGGGATTAGACAACTTCTACCAGCCATCAGCCTCCCGATTTTGTATTCTAAAACGCAGATCAAGTGATAGGAATAAAGAAACAAATGAATAAAGACCTGCAACTGTAGATGGGAGGGAGCAGGGAACAGAGCCAGGGCTCACCAGCTGCTTCAATGGGGCGTTTGTCTCTCATTTCTATTTTTGCGGCACCTCTGCGTAACCTGGAGGAGATGAGGCTCTGCATGCTAAAAAGGGCAGCCAGCCTTCGGGGAAACAGCAGGGCTTAGAGCACGGGAGGAAAAACCCTCCCAGAGCAGACAGAGGAGGGGCCAGAAAGCAGAGAAAGTGGGAGAGGTAGATTGAGAGGGGAGAGGGAACAAAGGCGGGATGGGATGGGAGCTCCCGTGCTGGCTGCGCGCTGTCCTGCTGCCAGCACCCACAGAGGTGACATTGGAGCCAATGCAAAAGGTGTTTCACCTCTGTGAGGAGCAGAGTGGGGCAGTTCCTACAGCAGGGAATAATGCTGCAGTGCTGCCTTTCTGAGGCCACTGAAAAAAAGCCAGCCAGGAGGATACAGATGAAAAGAGTTTGCTAGTGCTGACCCCATGACCGCTCAGAAAACAGTTCTGAGTCAAAGTGGCGAAGCTCACTCTGTTCAGCTCAGCAGAGGATTCACAACAGCCCCAGACAAGGAGATGAGGGAGTTTCACTCAACAACAGAAAAAAAAAACCTGAAGAAAGGCTATCTGCCATCTTTCTCACAAAGTGCTGTGAATAAAAGCAGTTTCACAATTCTAAATAATTCTAAAAGAGCCCCAAAGTGTTTTCTACATTGGCTGACCAAAAATCACTTCATCCCTTTGCCACAAAGCAAGTCACCTCTCCATGGGATAGGGCAGCTATTTAAAAGCTCCAAATTGGCCTATTGAACAGGACTAGAAATTAAAGAGGAAATAAGTCATTTTTGTGTCCAGCTGAAATGAGAAGAGGGATTTGGGGAGATGAAATGGAATCTAGCTGTTGAAGCTGTGACTGTGTCAAATAGCCTTTAAAATTTTTTCGCTTTTTAATTAGTAACAAGCAAACCTCAATTTCTTTCCAAGGAAACACACAATCATCCCTTAAGATGTCACCACATCAGCTTGATCTGTAGAGGGGCTGGAGTGCTCATCAGTTTAGCCAACAGAAGGTTGGTTTTACCTCTCCTTCCTGAGTGTTGTGGCTACACCACAGTGCCATGGAGGCAGGATCAGCCTGCTGAAGAGAAGAACACTGGGGCACACTCTGACTTACCTGTCTGTCACCACCAGCTGGCAGAGCCTGCACACCCCACCCAAGCACACTTGCACAGGAGGGAGGTCAGAGCATGGTGGTACTGCCAACGAAGCAGCCACAGGAATGTCCATCTGGCCCTGCTACCGTT